TAAAAATACAACAGATTGGACTCATATAAACCCTGAGAAAGTGTTAAAATTGATTCTGTGAGAGTCAATTTGTGTGAGTTGTTTCTTGATGTAAAGCATGTTGAGCTTTAAAGGTGGAAAAGCGATGCATAAAAATGTGACCATACCTGTGTTTTCTTGTTTTTTACTCGATATTTTCACACCTTTTCAACCATAAATGTGACGTTTTGTGGCGTAAACATAAAGAAAAACACTCTGAATAAAAAGGTGTGTCCCATTTTTTTGACTCGCAGTGTGTGTGTACAGTATTTGGTTATAAAAACAAACACTTGGCATTCCGTTTTGGTTTTATCAGCGAGTTAAAATCTTCCAGGAGGAGTCGGTTTGCGCTCCAAGTCTCGTGCAGCGTGACCTTAAACCGTCCTGTTTATAATAACTCTTTGTGGATTTGTGGAATCCGGAGGAGGCGCGGGCCGCTGGATGAGCCTCTGTCAGGAGAACGTGTTGCTGCTCCCTTAAAATAAATGTGTTTACTGTGGTCCTCGCAAAATATTTGTTTAACTTTGTTGTTTTTAAAAAGTACATGTACACGCAAGAAATAATATATAGCTCCTGGCCCGGTCTGTGCGCGCCGCGGCTTGTTTTGGAGATTGACACTTGTGCGCGGAGGATAATTAATGCGCGTTTTGTCTATCGGTGATGATCCGGCTCTCCTGTCACGCTTTTCGGCTCTCTCCACGCACGGCCCCATTCTGTCAGCGCGCACACTCTTCCTCTTCCTCCTCGTACGCTCCTCTTCTTCGCTGACCAAAAGGGATCCGCGCGCCGAGGCCACGGATCCGCGCGCTGACAGCTCCTCCAGCGCGCGCGTAAATCAACAGGAAATGGCCATAAACAAATAAGTTGTTTGTGAAGAGGCGAAGCGCGGTCGCTGTTTTACGCAACACTCGCATCCTCTTGACAAACATCCAAACAATAAAGCCTCTAAATAATGTGTGTCCGTATCCGCGGCGCGCACCGGGGTTAAGTTGAGTTTACTGCGGAGGCCAGTGGCTGCATGCATTAAGCAAATCATAAATTATACATGCTAATTACCTAAGGCCCCACTTTAATGAATTATTTTAATTAAACGACAACACTGGGCTTTTGCACGTGCTCTATATTTCACAGCGCTGCCTGCAGTCACCTTCTTCTGTTTCCAAGTGGAGACACCTAAGGACGAAGACGAAGCGGCGTGGACGTGGCGCGGTTCGTCCGATTTGGCGCAATTACGCACAGGAGTGACCTCCCCAGAGTCTCACCTGCGCAAATTTCAGGTCTTTCACTGCAGGATTCTTAACTTAATCTCCTAAATCTGCCCCAGAATGTTATAATTTTTTGATTTCTATTTAATTGTATCTGTGTTTTTGCCTCTTTATTGTCACCTGCTGCTTTTATTTTATGAGTTTTAGCCGTTTACGCACGATTTACGACACGTCTGCGTTAAACCACTGTGTTAAAAAGTGGTAAAAATCATAAAAATAAAACAAATAAACAGGTTGTGTACTCTTATTGTAATCACTTCTGTGTCCAGACCCACTAGTTGAACGTCTCCATGACACAAGACGCGCGTAAAAGGTCAAAAACTGTTGAAACACACACATTAACACACACATTCTCACCCACACATTACGCGTGGATAAATGGCCGCTGCTTTTTGGGAGTTCCGCGCTCAGATTTGATTCATTTGTGTTTTGACAGTTGTATTATTTGTTGTGTTCCGTGCCAGCTTCATTCCGCGCGTCATTCACAGAGCGAGAGGTGCCAATTTATAACCGAAGTCACTCACGACGCTGAAGCAACTCCCTTTTAGCTTCTCCTTTCCTCCCTGCTCTCTCCTGCAGCCTCGGGCACCGACTGCTCAACCAGACAGCCTACATCAGCCTAAACCTGGATTTGATTTACAATTACGCAAAGACAGCGCCAGAAAATGCGTTATTGTGCACTTCTCCGGCAAAACGTACCCATGTTAGTTCTCTTTGTATTCTTCTTTTTCATATTTTTGAAGCCTGTAATCCATTTTGAGTTTGAATAAAATGAAGAAAGCTGAAAATTAATGCATAAACACATAATTTTAGACAAACAATAAACGTGTTTTCTAACTTAAATGTTACCAAACCCAAATTCTAAACCAGTTTTACAATATTAGGATTTGGCATTGCGTTTTTACAGTTGAATTTTGCTCATTTTTTATGTTTTTCTTTTGTTTTGAATCAGCAATTAACAGCTCCTCACTGTTTACTGCCTTTATGAATTAAATAAATACATAAATACATAAATTTAGACAAAAAATAAACTTAAATGTGACCAAACCCGAGTCCTAAACCAATTTTATGATACTAGGATTTGGCAACTTGTTTAATTTTGTTCATTTTTCATGTTTTGCTTTTGTTTTGAATCAGCAATTAACAGCTCCTCACTGCGTAATGCCTTTTTTTAAATTCAATTTCATTTTTAGTTTGAATAAAATAAAGAAAGCTGGAAATAAATACATAAATACATACTTTTAGACACAAAATAAACGTGATTTCTGGTTTAAATGTTCTCAAACCTGAGTTCTAAACCAATTTTATGATGCTAGAATTTGGCAACGTGTTTCATTTTGTTCATTTTTCGTGTTTTTCTTTTGTTTTGAATCAGCAATTAAAAGTTCCTCACTGCTGTAATGCGTTTTTTGTTTTTTTTTCCTCTTTGCATGTTGCTCTAAATGTCATCAGTGCGCGCTCCCCTTTCCGAGTGCACTGCGCGCGGGGGGGAGGGGCGCATTTCAATTCCAAAAGAGTCTCTCGGCTCGTTTCCTAGTCCCCCAGTCAGCAATGTGTTTGTGAGGAATCAGGGTTTTTGTCTTGCTGGAAAAAGGCCTATGTCTACATTGGTGGCCCAGTCGAGCTTCGCCTTTCTTTGCGCTTTCAATTGCGCTGAATGAGCCCGAATGAAGTGTCCAGGAGCCTTTATTTGATCTGGCCTTTTGCGCGACTCAAACGTATTGGTTTAAAGCGCCCAAATGGCCTGTTTCACACTATAGGCGACACAAATAAAACGCTATATTTTCATTTTGCATCAGAATGGCGCGGGTTTGTTTATGTCGACGCTGCGCGCTTGAATCAACTGTTGAATGGGGGACGAGGCCGAGCGCGGAGAGGAGCCTTGACCGAGCCTGATGAGCGGCCAAGGGGCTTCACAAATGTTTCCAAACGCTTGATGTGATGGCTCTTTGGAACGGTGCCTTTACGCGCACGATCGGAGCTGGATTTCGAAGCTTTCTTTTTATACTTTTGATGCATTTTTACACTGATTAACCCTAAACCAAGACAAAAATCAGCACAAAAGCAAAGCAGGCAACAGGAAGAAGAGCTGTGCACATCCTAATAACAGCTTAAATTATTATTATTATTGTAGTGTAACGCTTTATTTAATAAATCTTGCGCGTAATTCCATGCGTAAAAACACACCAACTCCGAGTTTGAATCATTTTACGCACATCTTTATCTTCCTTTCTTTGCGATTAGTTTGTAGTTAAAACAAGCTCTCACACTGGCTTCTGTTATTTGAATAATTATAAAAAAGAGCCAGTCTTTTGAACGGCTCTTTGAAAGATTCGGATCCCGATAAAGAGCCAAAAATTCCATCGGTAGTTCCCAGTCGCCGTGGATTGTGTGTTTGTGGGTACGCGGCTTCACCTGCGTCCACTGCGCGCTCTGACAGCTCCACACACCGAAAGAAAAAGCAGAAATTAGTATTATTATTGTTAAAAATTATAATAATAAATGTAAATACTAATAATAATTGGTAACACTTTAGTTTAGGGACCAAACATTAATATTTAGCAAATAGTAAAAACATAATAACTGCTTAATTACATCTTTATTAGTATTTATTGTAAAGTATTTTTAATTCATTTTTGTCCAAGCTCATATTTTGTAAGAATTAAACTGTTATTTATTTTGTTCCCATTAAAGGTGGTGTGTGTTTTGTGCAAACACTGACATCTTAATAAGTGTTAATAAGTGTTTGATAAATGCAAATCAGCAGATAAGTAACAGGTAATTAGCATAACAATAATAATAATTAGCACTTAGTTATCAGTTAAAATGAGGTCCCTAAATAAAGTGTGTCCTAATAATAATAATAATGTATATTTGTATGAAACACACTGACAGCTGTGTGTTTACAATAATATATTCTATACAAACGTCACACGCCTCATGAGCCTGTTTCTGTGCGTAAAGACACGTGCACAAATGTTGATTGTTTACCCCACTTTTAATGAGAAAATATTTGGATGACCACATGTTGTTTGTTCTCCAGACTGTTGGACACGTTTGTCAAAGCACGCATGCTTTTGCAGAAACTCAAATGAATTTTTCCAAAGTGAAAAATAAACATTGACACCATCCACAGTAACACAGATGTTGTTCTTTTCTATCGCATGCTTCAGCTACAAAAGTACAAACACAGCGCGTGACACGGGGTCACACGGCCTTAAATTAAATGCTTCACAAACAGCGCGTGGGAGACAGAGGCCCGTCTCCAACAGAAAAGTGCATTTGACAACATTTCAGGTATTTGCAATATCCACATCCTGCAGTTTAGAAAACTCTTTTAATACTACATTTCTACTGCAAGAACGTCCGTCTGCGTGATTTAAAGTAGTCCTTTTTCTATTTGGCATCGTCCTTCAGTCCAGGACTAACAGCAAACGAACACACGGTGCAAAGTTTGGACACACACAGCCTCGGTGGCGCACTTTGAAACACCTCACATCGGAAACAAATTAGAACTATCAAATAATTTATTTTCAAGAGCAATACTTCGCTGTGCGATTTGTGCTGGACTTCTACACGTTAAAGCGACACATTCAACACGAACACAAATGAATGACACTCGCCTGCTCCTCCGACAGCAGCACACGGGCTCAGTCTCTAAACAAGTCCCGGTGCGCGCACCACGGTCCATAGTCCTGTCCGGGAGCCAGCCGCGGGTCAGTGCACCGCCACAGACTGCAGTGTGGCCGGACTCGTGAGGGTCTCGCTGGGCGTAGCGGGGCTGCTTTGGCTCGTGGCTGTCTGCGGGGACGTGGGGCTGAGGGACTGCGGAGAGTTTGACAGGAAAGCGGGCAGGTGCGGAGGCAGAGCCGAGAAGCCCGCCATGCTCGTCGGCGTGGGCTTAATGGGGACGGGGATGGCGGGGAGGGACTGCCCGCTGTGGCACAGGCTCTTAATGGGCATCCCGTACGCGCCGTAGTCGCTGCTCGCCATGGTGTCCATGACGCTGCTGTTGTACACGTGCGGCCAGGCGCTCGTGAGCTGGTTGTGCAGCGGGTACCCGGCCGACATGGACTGCATCGTGGAGAAGGCCAGACTCCCCGGGACCTTGTACTCTCTGGCGATGATGTTCTCTATGGCGAACGGGTGCTTGAACGTGGACGTCTGGGACACTCCTAAGTTGTACGTGGACATCTGCGGGAGGTGCGTGCCCGTGGCCGCCAGCGCGCTCAGCCGCAGTTTGGCTTGTTGTTGCAGGTAGTGCGCCGCGTCTTGTTGTTTACTCGGGGCCAAGTGATCGGGCGCGCCTAACACTTTGAATCTCTTTCGACGCCTCAGAAAACTCCCGTTCTCAAACATGTCCCCGCAGCTCGGGTGCAGCGCCCAGAAGCTGCCTTTACCGGGCTGGTCCGGCCGCCGCGGGATTTTAATGAAACAGTCGTTGAAGGACAAGTTGTGGCGCAGTGAGTTCTGCCAGCGCTGCGTGTTTTCCCGGTAGTACGGGAATCTATCCATAATGAACTTATAGATTTCACTCAGAGGGAGCATCTTCTCGGGGCAGCTCTGGATCGCCATGGCGGTGAGAGAAATGTAAGAATACGGGGGCTTCTGGTCGCTGTACGTGTTCCTCCCGGGACGAGGCATCCTGGACACTGTCACACAAACTCCTCCAAACGTATCCTTCCTTTAGATCCTCTGCGCCGTTTGTGCGTCTTGGTGAAAAAGAAGAAAAGTTGCGCGTAAAAGAGCCCGGTGAGCAGAGGTGCAGGCGAGTGCGTCAGTGTGAAAGTGAACTTGTTCCGCCCGCTCTAGACTTCATGAGGCTGTGGTGTGGGACGAGCGGATGCCTCCATGGTCTTCTGTGCGCGTCTGATAGTTTTATGTAGTGACATGAGCAGAAAAGACCCCTGTAGTGGCGCTCCATTAATGTGCCACCTCTTCGCTATCACATGACAATCGCCACGGGAGGAGGGGGGCGCGCGCGGGAGGAGGGGGCGCGCGCGGGAGGAAGCATAATCTGCTTTCATTTACACCTATTTACATGGACACCTTGGGCCAATGGAATCATTTCCATTTGAAGACAGAAAAAGGGTGAAAAGGCTCCGTCACCGGAATAGGAGCGCGGTGCTCGGTGAGTGGAGGTATGCGGGCCCGATCTTTCTGCGGACTTTGACACGAACTGCGCCACTTCACACATTTATTGCACATTTCTGGAATTGTCAAATATTTATCCGGACTTCTGGCATTTAAAGATAACAGGTTCATGAGATAATTTTACACATTAAAATAACGTTTGAGTCACTTTTCCTTTTCAACATTTCTCGATTTTTCTTGTTTCCTTAATATTTAACCATAATTTCATTGCTTAATTAGTGATTTAACTCAATTATCTAATAGGTGGGGGCTAATCTAAAATACCCTGAATTTATTCCAGTGTAATTTCTATCAGTCTGATCACAAACAATGCGCGTCCCGCTGTGTCGGTGTTAGTTTTTCTGCTAATTTGGCCCAGAGCTGAGCGGAAGAATATGAACAGAGCGCACAAAGCAAACAGCCCTGTTCAAACTCAAACTTCATGAGGCTGAGGGCCCTTTGTGTCCGTGTCAAAACATTCCAATCCGTGCTTCTTCACAAATGCAAATAAACCCTTCTGGATGGTGTGCGGAAAACTGTATAAAATATCCATAAGTCAATTATATGAATGTGAAAACCAAATGGGAAGCCTATTTTGAGCTGCTGCTATTGAAGCTTTTGGCCAGCGCTACCTTTCCGCTTGGAGAGTTCGCAATGGCCCCGGACCACACACAAGCACCACGCAAGAATTGCTCATAATTTATGCTAATTTCCCCCCATAAATCCACAATGCGCCCCATCACTGGTCTGACGGATTAGCGGGAGAAACGCGACGCGGGGGGACGGAGGAGAGCTCAGGACGAACACGCACCGCGACTTTGCAATGTTTATCTATCAGAGATTTGTTCCTAAATCAGTTTATTAAAGTTAAAAAACGCGCTCACATTTTTATTAATTAATGTGATTAGATTTTTTACGTGTGTTGTCCAATTTCATGTGCCATTACGCGCTGGTCCAAGTCAGTTTTGTCAAAGAAAACACAACTCCTCTTTGGATTAAAAACCAAAACATAAATTAAAATAACGCATTCTATAAATTAAATAAATAAACCAGATATTTTAATGGGCATTTTTGAATTTCTGAGTAAAAATCTGAATTATTTGTAGCTGTTCCAGGCCTGTTCTTATCAGCAGCTTCTCTCTTTTACATGTTCCTGGATTATTTTAATGCGCGCTCCTTCTCTCGCCTTAACCAGCCTTTCACTCTCGCTCCGCTGCTCTCTCTGGCTCCTCTGGCTCCTCTGGCTCCTCTGGCTTCTTGAGCTCCGGGGTTATGGGATATTATGGGATGTCGGTCGCTCTTTTGTCCCCGTCCAATGCACACAGTGAAAATACCACCATGACTCTGAATGTGAAAAGGGGTTTTTAGCTTTTCACAAACTCTCCGGGTTCAAGCGGCAGTAGATCAAGTCTGCGCCATGTTTGGTCATTTGTAGAAACCCGAACAAAGGTTGGGATAAGGCAAATTGCATTGCACTTGTGAACCGTGCCTCAGTCTGAAGTATCTTTTATAGCGGGAGGGGAGCTTTGAAAAAAAGAGCGGAGCCAAAACAAAAGACACTTTCTGAAACATCTTAAAGTAGAGTAGTGAGGCGTGACATTCCCAGGGTGAGGAGCCACAAAGGCCGAGGTCACCGGGATGAAAAAGAGAATCAAACAGCCACTTTCACACGTCTGCCCTCCTCTGCTGCGGCCCGAACACAATACGAAACAAATGTTGTTAAAAGAGGATCGATGCCATTCACCCTAAAGCAGCGCATGATCGCCAAACAATATTGTCACAGCGAAGCGAGCTGAGATCTGCTGCCACCCAGACCCACAAGATAAGCCTTTCACGGTGCGATTAACAACGTATTATAGTGTTTTATTCCCTTAAAAAATAAAATTGAATAGATATTTTTAAAAAGTATTCATTTTAAATCCATGCGTAAAAGTCATTTAACGTATTTTGCTTCATTTTACGCGCCTTTTACGCACGGCGCTCTTTCTTTTTCCTTAAGTTTCCAGCGTGTTTCCAGGTTGCTGACTGATGCTAGAGTGTTAATCCCTGACTCGGAGCGGTGTACATTACGCAGCCAATAAATAAACAAATCAGTGCTGGAGGACTTTTCCAGCACAAACATTTGTAATCCGTGTGAATTATCTCGCTCTGTGTCATTTCATTATACATATGGTTTCAGTTTATGGAACCCGTGAGCTTTTCTTTTCTTTTCTTTCACATTCTGAGGAGGCTGCAGGGGGGAAAGGACGCGTTTCTACTTCGGCCTTGACGCAGGTAAAACAAGTTTGTCGCGTGTGTTTCCAAACTGACTTTCTCCATCGGCCAGTGACTCCATCCGCGCTTCTAATTAAGTCCGTGGTGGTTTCGGCCCCTGGAGATGTTTTACGGTGCAATTAAGGACGCGCTCGAGATAAGGTATGAATATTCAGCAGGATGACAATTAATTAGCAGACGGAGGGCTCTCAAATGAAGCCTCTCCATTCGCAAATTTAGCCTATATGACGGGGAACTGCGCGCGGGTACCATGTTGGACACGATTGCGCGCGCGTGTGATGTATCTAAACATGCGGGGAGTGATTTTCTGGACCGACGCGGACCGTGGAAGCCTGTCCCATTAGCCGCTGCTGGGACATCAGAGGGGCTACCTGAGCAGGCAGACCGCAGGGCATTCGGAACATATGCTCGGCTTACGCGTAATGGTCTAATTACATAAATGAGGTGTTCATTATACAGCACATCATGTGAAACAGATATCTCTATTGTACAAAGGCAGCGGCTGCTAATTCAATTTGTCTGCGCAGATTTTCGTCCAATTAGACACTAAAAGAGCGGGGCACTGCTATGATTTTGTTTGTGGATTGCGCCACTTAAAAATAATGAATGGCTTTCCGATCGCAGTTCACAGTTTGTCCATGAGGTGGGGACATGCTCTTTAAGGATTAAACCAGAGAACATGTTCCAATATTTTATTTCCACGTGTCTTTGACCACTGGAGCTGTAATAAATAATAAAGAGAAGAAGAATATAAACGTGCCTGAAATGACAAACTATTAAACCTGTATTTAACTGCGCAATGTGGTTTCCTCTCTCCGGACAATACTCCGAAAAATATGTCAATTTTAAACATTTAAATAGTAAAATCACTGGTCTTTTCCAACAAAAGCACAGGCACAAGGACGTAACATTTGCTCCAGTGTCAGAAATTCTACTTGTACCCAATTTTAAAATGTGACAAAACCAATTAAAATAAAATCTGTGGAATATTTGCTCAATTGAATAAAATTGACTCAGTCCACCAAGACTCTTAAGTTCCATCCTAACAGTGTCCATAAAGCTCTGGCAGAAAAATCAGTTTTTCTCAAATAACTTTTAAAATAATCAATTTAGAGCCATAGTGTCAATGAAAACTGAATATAAATGTTACTATTGTGCATCTTTTAGTACCAATTTTATATCTCTGTCTTTATAACTTTCTACGATATGAGAATTTTGTAAAGATTTTGAGTGTTTTTTTGTCATTTTGATCCAGTGTCTGCAAAGGCCAAAGATGAAATGAGAGACATAAACTTTGTTCTTTCTGTAGTGATCATAAACTTATCAGATTAAATGATCCAATACATTGATATTTCAGAATTTTTTCACACTCCTGTTTCTTATTGAAGCTTTGACAAGTAGGTCACAGTGAACACGTCTGATAATCGACAGTCATAATATAATAATACCTGTATTCAAGATTTTACTTTTCACAGTTTCAGGTTTTTGAGTTTTAAATTTCTTCATTTCAAGTTCCATAATGTGTTGTAGGCCCGACATTTGTTACAATTCAGGATCTGTTGCTTATACAAGGTCCTTGAAATGCCAAACAAAAGACACTTTGCCAAATCTCAGAAACTAATGATGATAGAGACATAAAACTGGTACCAAATGATCCACAATGTCCATATTTATATTCAACTTCCATTGATACTATTGGTTTAAATTAATTATTTTTGATGTTATTAAAGAAAAACTGATTTTATAGCTCAGATTTAAGGTTTCTACAGGCACTAAACACCAGAGGCTTTGTGGATCTAATAAACATCAATAGAATTTCATGAAATTTCTCATGGAACTTTACTTCCATGAGAAATTCCAAAAAATATTCTAGATACAGATTGATTTTTAAAAATGTTTCAAACGAGGCACAATAAGACAAGATTTTTTTGTGGTTACCTTGTCACAATCTGCATGCAGGTTGTTAAATGTTAAGACCTGCTTTGTATAATTTCTAATCTTTTTGTAATTATTTTATTGACTATTCTGTTCTAATATTGCTGGTTCAATTGAATTTTGAAAAGAAAAAGAAATAGGATAAATTTAAAGTCCAAATAGTCGACTTATGGATCCTCTTATTGCTGCTTCAATTTCTGTTTTTCATTGTTTAAAACTTGAGTAAAACAAATTTTTCACAGAGTCAATAATAAAATATCCTCATTAATGTTGAATAATGTTTAATAAATCCTCTTTTATTT